CTCAGCTGGCGTAGAGCACAAGTGCAGTGTGTGGCGTCTAGCAATAAAGGGGAACAACGATTGCTAATTGAAATTACCATCATCTGTCTCAAAGGAGACAGTCATTTGCCAAAAAGGAGCAAACCCCGCAAAAATCGAGTCATGATCGCACGTACATGATTGAATGCGATCGAAAAAAGTTTTTAACCTTCAAAATGACCTGAAATGCCGTTAACTCGGACCAAATAGCAACAGATCTACTGCTACGCACTGATAATGTCACCGCGTCTGGATACGGAACAACTGCTGTCTAACTGCCAAGCTTGGAGCACGTAGACACGTGGGATCTGAGCCTTCAATGATTGTTTTTGACCAATCCCAAATAGGTCCCAGAAGGACTGTAGAGTTGCACTCTCGAGCTAGACCAGCTTCCAAATGTCCTGTGAATCAAACTCTTAGGCCAGATACTGGGGCTGAGCGATCACAAAAAATAACCGTCTTCTTAGGATGGATGGGATAGGAGTATCATCTTCCGGGAGCACTCCACCGTACTCTTCTTCTCCGGTTATTCATTGCTACATATCCTCGGTTACAAGAGTCCTGAGTGAGAGCCTGGCTGAGGTAGCCACTAAATGTGCATATTCAACTCATACTCCGAGAAAAGTATCTTACTTAAATTATTGGCGTTATGAGTCCTAGTTTGTATTCAACTGGTTACCAAGAAATATTAGCTCCTATCCTGCATTTCCCTGAGGCTGAGGTGTATCGTGCCTGTGAAACTCGCACACACTACCACGTGGTGCCATAACGCAGTTTCGATACGCTTGGCTCTGACTCCATTGACGGGGGTGGGCATGATGTTCGCGTGGCTGATAACGCCCAACTGGTAACTTGATACCTGTACGGTGTCGGACATGTGTCCAACAGAAATGCGAGAAGGAAACTAGGAAATGAATTGCTGTGGACAGGTACAGGTGTGCAGTTTGGTATCGAATCCTCAGCAGAGTTAGACGTAAGCCGTCACGGTTGCAGTTCGGAAAGTGTCAAAGACGAATAACACTGTAATCTCTCATCTCTCATCCATAAGACAATATGGAGACATGAATTGTCAAGGAAACTGCACAAACACAGTCTCAGAGAGTGTACAGGAGCCTATGCTTGCCGCACTAAAAAACCGACTGATTTTTTCAGGTGTGGACGAACCACAACTTCAATAGCAGAAGTACAGCTTCCCAATGCTGACGTTCGCGGTGAGACATTTAGCGACCAGCGAAGGTTCAGCTATCAGTGGACCAACTCGATCAATGCAAAAATGTCCGTTGAGTTAAAGCATATAGTTACAGTCAGATTGTTTCATAGAGAGCAACCATATAACGCTAACTCTCCTGAATTCAGTGAAGCGCGCAATTTCGAGGCCACTAGCACGTTGTCTACATCCGCAGTCCACCAAGCAATAATGTCGACCTGAGTCGGGGCACAAACTGTCAAGTAGTGAAAGTTCGATTAGCTTGGTTGCAACACGAAAGTGAGCTACGCTAGTATCAGAGTTGCTGATATGGAAACAACTTTTGACTAGGAGATTTGGGACCAATCAAGAGCGCTGGAAAATTGCATGCGCATGTGTTGCGGAGAATGTCGATTTTTCTGTAAGCAGTCGAGCGCAGCCTCGGCTCCTTTGAAGCACAAATTTAGGAAAGGTCCCGGTAAAAGAAAAAACGGAGAAAATGCATATAGAATCTATACGGAGATTGTTAACTCGAAAATTAGGCAGGACATTTCGAAGAGTAGATCAAATAGTCTATTGGTCACCACTCCTCCTAGTAGCAGCCGAAGCCACTTGAGATGTTGACTTCGCAACTTTTAGCGATGAAGAGCCAGCGTGAGCCAGTGTTAGCCCCAATACACATATGCCAAAACACGACAGAGACTCGGTTGTGTCTGCGCTACCACTCCACTCAGTGCCACATGAGTTAATAGAGGTCAAAGGGCATTGCATGAACGCCATCGAAGCGCTACCCACATGGTCGTTATATTTAAAGGCACTCGCAAGCAGCATGCAGTAGTGGCTCAATGGTCTAAGATAAAGTCGGATGAATGGAAACTAAACGGACTCCAAGCCATGTGGAGGATAAGTTGACCATATGCTGACACTATATCAGTAGCTCACCATGTTAAGCATTACCTTGGAGAACGCCTCCTACGCAACTGAACGCCTGTTTGCAGCGATGTCTGCGCTTGAGTAGAACGCCGCGATGCCGCTTTACCGTTCAGCCTCATACTGCCCGTACCGGAACCGCGTACGGACCAACGGAAAGTCGCGCTGAGGACCTCATGACCACTGGGGCTCACCAGATCCGCTTTTTTCTAACTTTTTCCAACTTTACCAAAATTTTTAGTGGTCGAACAGTGGCAAACGACTACTACATCTAGGCTGATTGTTCTGGAAAATATTTTTACCATACGAATAGCTGACAATGAGTGTGTGGATAAAATATATCTCATAGGACTGAACTCAGCTTCTGTGCATGCGCTTCGCATCTCGAAAACTAGAAAGTACTTCTATCGAACTCGATTGACATGCGACTCATTCTCAGGAGCATCGAACAGCCACTGAAAAGAAAGGATCGGTTTCAGTTACCTTGATGTCTTCATCATCACTGAGGATCAAAGCACTAGAAGTTATTGTGTCAAATAGTAAGACACGCTGGCCCTGCAAAACCTCGATCCACTCGTTGATCAGAGAAGCAGGGCGTACAATACCGGTGGTTACTGCATAGCCATTGACACAGTAACTGCATTGTATGATTATCGGTGGTATCGAATTGCTCACATCGCTAGGGAACACCAATCTGGTACCAACCAACGGAACCCAAGGGTGTAGTCGCGCGCTGGCGCTCCTTATGTTGGCCAAGTCACAGTCTACTCTTCGGCGTTCAGTGCCCGCCGATGGTGCAGCCAGTTCGGTTAAGCTGTAGAGTGGTTAGTTTAGTACGTGGCAAAAATTGACCGGAAAAGTTGGCCTGTCAAATGTGTGCTGTCCTTCTGGAGCCAAACTTCTGGGTCGGTCACCATATTGGTCGAATACCTTGTCTAAAATAGGGTAGCCGCAAGTGAATGCCGTTTATGCAAATGGCTACTTGCTTAGTGCGACCAAATTATCCATTAGAGAATCACGGCTTTTTTAAGACCGTTTTCTCGTCGAAATTGAATGGTGTCGACTTTGACAGCTTTTCGTCTTAGGTATTTTCTCTGCATTATCAACCGGATGCACACAGTAGGTCGAGTCACGGAACTGACCTGAGTTGTTATCACAGTGTCACCAGAGAAATGACGGATGCTGTCGGCTAGTTCGACACGTCTGCGCATTCTTCCCCGGTGTTTAACTGCTCTGATAGCTGTTGATGAAGTCACAAGAAACGAGCAGCGATGAGAAAAATCACAGCTCGGTTAAACCGTAGGTTAGACCGTAGCGCGCCTTCATAAGGATAGATAATTTGATCATCATGCGCGGCACGTCAATTTAGTTGGTTACAAAATGTGAAATCTTCATATCGTTAAAGCGATAAAATGTATACATACAAGAAAAAGAACGAAAGCAAAACAATGGAAGTTGATGAAAACAGGATTATCGAGTTGAAAAAGTGGACAAACTTAAGGGATAAGTAGTCGTGCTAGGTAATACGTGATGCTGTGCCATCATGGCAGAACAGATGCTCATCGGAATTATTAGTGGATTGAAACACAGCCCAAATGACGGTTCATTCAAACCGTGACTGAATAAACAAGTCGACGACGGCTGTTAATGGGGGCCTGTGCTGAAAAAGTAACTTGCACAGTAAGTGCACAAGTACAAATTACTTGAAAATCTGCAACTAGATTGTAAGGCAGAGCACATGGTTAGTGGCTTCTTCAAAAAAGTCATGGACAGGGTGCGTAGTGGTGCAGCCACGACGCCTATGATTGGGGGACCAAGGACAGGTCCCGTTTGATTGGAAAGTCACCAGCGGGTGTCTCAGTGTTGTCCACAAACTTCCGTCCATATGCACTGGCATGCTTCGAAGTGGGCTTCTGTGTGAATCATGAAACGATAAAGTAGAATTGGCCGTTCTGAAACACCCTAACCTTAACCTGTGAGCGCACGCCAGACGAGTGAAACTACAGGAGGTATGAGGACTGTAGGGCACGAAGTTCGATGGACAGCGAGGAAGTTGAGCGACGACTCTCAAGCGTCGCTTAGGCTATGCACGCGGATACACTGCTTAACGTGCGATTTTTCAGATTGGAGGTCTATTTAAAAAGAGCTTAGTCAGTCGCAGTGAACGCTGCAGCGTGAAAGTAAACGGACAGGCGCTGAGTTTCACAAAAGCACAAATCAGAAGATTTACCGACGATAATGAAATGGGCTGCAGAGGGAAGAGATAAAACCGTATAAGCGAGTGAGTTGAGCCCTTCAACGACGTCTAGTGTGTGAACGCACAGCAGTGTGTAAATATTGGGGATAGATTGCCAACCGTTAAGTACACGGTTTGGGGGTGACATTGGACAAAAACGCACGTCGAGCGATAAATCAGTCGGCTATATCGGCTGACACCATCCCAGCGGTCTAGCAGCAACGAGTAATACTTCGCGATAATGGGGACGGTGGTTTAAGATCCAAGAAGTTAGGCGGTTAATTCCCATTGCCAGGTGAATCGGGGAAAAACGAGACCTCTAGGTAAGTAGTGAACATCTAAGCGGAAGTATCTGTGACGAAATTTATGTGAGGCGCCAACGGATTGTTCTGAATTTAGGTAGCGTAATAAGGTAGAACAGAATGTGGAATAACCCAGTTGTGTAGTACAGAGCACAACAACGCTGCTGTAGAACAATTACTTCTGACAGGATACGTTTGCTCACGGACGATCAGGCTGAGTGAAAGTTTGAAGTAAAAAAATGTACAATGGATCTAATGTATAGGATGGAACACGAAATTCCACATGGAGGAGAACTGAGAGGTAGATGAGAGCACTGAGTCAACTCACTTCGCCTCACCACTTTCTACGATCAAACCGACTTGCATTCGTAACGTCTGCCTTAGCAGACGCTGGTGAATGGCACCCAAAGCAAGCAACGATGGAATGGGTATGCGCTCAGGTCCAGATGCGCGATCGCTGATGATCAGAATTTGCGCGTCACCGGAGCGAACCGCCTGCTCAGCCGTGTCGCAAAGTGATTCTAAGGCGGCCACCAACAATGAACCGATGGTGTGCGATTCCGTTGAGGAGTTGCGCTCGAATGCGAAAGTGGCATCCAGCACTCGGCTACGCCAGCCTAGAACTTGGGTTTTCCGGCTGGTGTGCAAGTGAACCAAGGATCCGTCTAGTGAGCGAAACAAACGCATATCGTCCAGCGACAGCAGTGGTTGCGATAACCACAACCGATGGACTTGGTATTCTGAGGGTATCAAAATGTTCTTCTGTGGGCCAATGGGACAGGTCTAAAGATAAAGAAGACGGTAAATCAGTCAAGGAGCGATGAAACGCTCCGGAAACAAAAACCAAAGGAGGAAAGATATCACGGGTCCATTGTAGATGCTTTAAAAATGCAAAACGAAGAGGTTCAGGAAGAAACTTACGAGAGCCATGACAACTTGCTCACGGAACGGATCGATAGGGGGGTTGGTCACTTGGGCGAATAATTGTTGAAAGTAGTCGTAGACGAAAGGATTTTGTTCCGACAGACAGGCGAGCGGCGCGTCATTACCCATGGAACCAAGTGCCTCTTTGCTGTGGATGGGGGGTGAATGGGGTTCGAAGCATACAACGGGTAAACAAACGTAGGACAACTTACGCACATGCCACAGTTCACCGAACCTCACGGCCAAGGAGAAAGTCAAGGATAACGAGTCATCTTAAGAAGGAACACTCACTCCGTTCGCAGCATCGGAAGAATCAACAAGTTGATGTTCTCAGGGTTATAGCCGAACAAAGGCAGGCGACGGTCGTCCAAAGCAGAGGGACAACACTCTAAATCCAAGTCGTTAGCCTGCAACTGTGGTGCCCTTTCATCGACCATAGCATGGAGCTCACTTAAACTAATGGCCTTCAAGAAGAGAGATGAACGGGCATTGAATGAAAGATGGTTGATGCGAGTTCGGTTGCATAGCTAGCGGATTAGCTCTATTCGACAAGTGAATGATATGTCATGGTCTATTGAAACCACCGTCCATTTGAAGAGAACGAATGAGGTGAGTGTGGCTGGCATAACGAAAGTGTTCTGACAGTAGGTCTGAGAAGATTAGATATTGACCGCAAAGTCTGATGTTTATGACTAAAAACGTAAACCTAAGGGAGTTGAAGAGACTCAAAAGAACGAGTGCGTTAGTTAACCAGCCCGGATTCATTCGGGCCCGTAAGCAAGTGTGAATTAAGGTGATGGGAGTGAACGCAACGACCACTAAAACGAGTACAATTTAAAGTCCGCGGTTATAGCGTTCGTTTAAGGAAGGACTGCTCTATATTAAAGTGATATTTTAAATGAGAAGGGTGACGGAGAGATGATTGTGGTAGCCCCACCACAGAAATTGTGAAACAAACTACTTCCGCGTGGAATCATGCCAAGATTAGTCAAAATGCTTCTCCAGGACAAAGGGGAACAGCCCCTGATAGTTAAGTTCTTATGCTTAGAATGCGAGAACAGGGAAAGATGTGGTAGAACGGAATGCCGTTCGAGAGACGGACAGATTATGAGTCAAACTTACACCCTTTCGCAGCCATTCGCCATAGGGATATCTTTCAACGATTTCTTGCTTCAGCTTCTCATCGTCCAGCAAAGCACCGGCTGAAGTGTCAATGATCAACAGGCGTCCGGCCTTTAGCCGACCCTTTTTGAGAATTTTTACCTCTGGTGGCACATCCACGACGCCCACTTCACTGGACATATATACCATGTCATTGTCTGTGGCGTAGAACCGAGCAGGACGGAGACCATTGCGATCCAACACAGCTCCGATGTAGCGTCCGTCGCTGAATACAACAAGGGCTGAGCCCAGGAGAATGAAACGGTTAAGCGATCTGAAACCGAATAATGAGCATTTCTGGAAATACCACATTTTCCAACGCCAGATGCGTCAACATTAGTGGCGAAAGGTGAACCACATTGCATTCGCTTAGTGGTTGAATAGGTGAGATATGCTAGCAGTTCACAAATCGAGCCGCGATGCGACAACGCTAAAATTCAGAGTGACTCATACAGAAGGATAAACTCGGCTACTGAAAGAGATCTGAAAATAATAGACCAAAAGTTAGGATGGGATTGGAGTCCAGAGTTGCACGGATGGTTTGCCCACTATGCCGATTGTCTATTGACAGACTGAAAATTAGGTAGACAACGGTCGGCTGCTAGAAGATAGGCTGTCCCGATAATGTGAAGCGCATTGTCTAGACCGTAGAAGAGAGCTTCACTCAACACCGAAGTATGTGAACTAAGACAGCAGCAACGTGTATAAATGGGTCTGTAGAGCAATTAATACGGGGTTGTCATGTGATCGCAAATCAGCGCGATGACAGCATTCCGCCCTCAGTTGGGCTATTAAGAGTAAATGTATTCCGATGTCTGCAATTATAAAACCAGGTAGCTGCATTCCCAATAGCAAAACGCTACTCAATGGATAGTCAGCGAGGCCGCTTAGTTTAACGGCAGCGCTCAGTCTGGTGCGCATGATTTAATCGTTGACAAAAACTGGATATACCGCTAACGGATTAAAAGAACGCTGGATAAGAATTTCACAAAAATATATAAGAAGTCACAACGTATTGGAACCGACAAATGCATCTGATCTACGCTGATTCGTGAGTCCGCGGTTAAAAAGTCCTGGCACTGCGTGACGGCCGTTTGTGAATCAACCGGCCGTCGACATAGCAAGTCAACGCAAGTGTTACCGGGGCGGTGGATACATACCCAATCTGTAAACCAAATGCAATATGCTGAGGGTGATCCGGATACGTCCAGCGTAGTTGCAGATCGAGCCGAATGGCAAACGGTATGTGGGGGCTACTCCGTTTTCAGTCCGGTTCACGTAAATCGTGAAAATAAGATTATTGATGGTGGAACTGAGCACAGCCATACCCACGGTGTATGTCAATAGTCTACTCGCTCATCCGGCAGTTAAGAAGCATTGAACAGTGAACGAGACAGCTCATATCAATTGTAATAAATGCAGTAGGTGGTGGATAGGATTGAAAAGTGACAGGACACCGAATTAGCAACGCTTGGCCGATTCCAAACAGTGACAAGGAGGCTCATTCACAAAACGACACTAAAAGTTTTTGCCTGGTCTTGACAAAATTAGGCTGGTTTCGCCTCTCAATTCAGTGGTAGACATAATAAAAGAGAACTGTCAGGCCAGCACTGGAATAGACAAATGGGTTATCGGAACGAAAGAGAGCAGTAAGGAAGTAAGTTCGGATAGTCAAAATGCGATGTATTGTTAAGCGAAAGTAAGCGGTGGCGAAATCCTGATGTATCAAGCGAATTTGCCGAACTATTCGAGTAGGTCGGAATTCTCTTGTACACTCATTACGCTCAAAAATTAGCAAAGGGACAACGTAAACGAAGCCGATAGACAGCGACGTAGCAGCATTCAGGTGAGTCAACACGTTGCTTGTACAAACCACTGTTTAGAGGGGAGTGGACTGATTTACTGAGCCGTGGCTGACCTGTAGCAATGGGTGCGCGGTCAAGTGTAACACACCGAGACGAAGAAACAGATATGCTGATAAGCGCTTGAAACAGTAACAACCCTTCCTGGATGTCTGCCGTAGCCGGGCTCGAGGATGGATTGCAGTCACTCTCTTACCGGACTCACAACATAAAGGTCCACTCCATCGAACACTAATCTTAGTAGACATGGGTATTCATTCGCGGAGGGTAATCCGAGTGTTAATTAGTATCAGTACTTAGCGCTAGGTGCGTGCTGTTTAGCAGTGAACCCAGACTGCTAATGAACCAAGTGGTTAAAAGTTATGCTTTCTGACGTGTAAACACTTTAGGCATACATCTTTCTTGGTGGATATCCAGGTGATTCTACTGTCCAGTTTACTCACAATGAGTGCACGACATTCTGCTGAGACACTCACCGGTCCAGATTCGATCGCTTTAATGGAGTAAGGAACAAGCGACTTCTTCGACCTTCTTTGAGGCTAGCTAATAAACAACCGATTTTTTTTGCGACAACTTTGAGCGCCTCATTAGGCCATAATTTAGTTAAGGGTTGATCAATACTCTAATTCTACAGGCCTGTTAATGCGCCCATACCCGTTCTGTTTAACTGCTTATAGTAACGTGAAGAGGAGCAACGAATAGGCTGACTTTATGAAATTGGAGGACCTGACCTATAGCTCAGTGAAGATTGATAGAATTTTGATGCAGCCACAGCTCCTGCTGAATCATCGGGCTGTGAAACTTCGGTTGCCTAGGGAGAGCGCTTTTGGTTACAATGAAAAGTGGGAAACATAAAAGAATCAGCTCGCAATATATGCGACCAGTATATATTGAACAATACAGAGAGTAAATCATCTATTCGGTGGTGCATTGTGAAGAAAGAATCAAACCGCTTGATGCTAGAATTATATTCAACCAGTATGAATTGTCGCTCTAACTTAAAAGCACTGTCTAAGAAATGCCCAGTGATCGAATATAAAGCCACCTGTGGAATCGTGAGTGAATTGCATGAGAAACGATAAGTCCCCTTGGGGTTCGAATCCATCTGTCAATCAGCGAGACAAAGTCGCGTGACTGGGACAGGTAAGCTAATCGGATCCCACATTGAAACTGGGATTGCAACCACTGGTGATTTCGGGCAAGGAGACCGGACACGCTACTTTACGGGTAGCATCGGAGAGTTCCATCGTGACCTCTACGTCAAGACATTTGTGGAACGCAACAGAACAAACTCAGAGTCTGTTTGACAAAAATGCCCACTACGCTACACAATACGGCTAGGTGACCATCTGCTTAGGAGGCTGACTGTGTAGATCACAGTGCCAGGCTAAAACGTGAGTAAAAACTATCAAATTGTAATGACTCGCTGATGCCTATTCGCTGCATTGTGACTGAATAACCGCATGATGCGAGCTGTGCAGCCGCTGTAACAACGAACTTATTTGGTCAGATTGTAGGTTTCAATGGTGCAGGTGAATTCCGCCTACCGGTCAAAAGAGAATGAGCGCAAAATCACGGTCGCAAGTCCTTAACGCGTCCGATACCACAACGGTAGCTGGTGATAAGAGATTCAATACAACACAAAAATCGGTCTGATTAGGGAGGGTATCCGCCTGGGCACATCAAGTAACGTCATCCAGCCCTTTCCAGTTAACTTTCAGTAGTGAATGGGAAATTTTGCGGCGGTACAGCGAATGGAACGAAGGAAATTTAATGGCGACGTTGGTTAGCATTAGTGCTATTTGGAGGCATGAGTCGATCAGTCCAGTAAACCAACGAATTAGAGGACACAATCGGGACATGTGCAGCATAACACAGCTTGTACCGATACGTTGCATGTCGTTGCTAGGTTGGAATGCTGCTCTGGAGAAATTCTCATCGAAAAGTAGACGACTGCGATACAACAAGATCCGGCATTTAGCTTCTGCTTCTGCGTATCTACTTGGGGATGAATGCAATCCTACAGAATATTTCCCTCCTTTCATGAAAACAAAAGGTTACCAAGGAGATAGGATTAACCTTATTTCAAAAATACACTGTTGCCGTTAAAATTGTCTACAACACTTACTAAACCGATGTAGTCCGATATCCCGATCAAGACCGTCAAAAGGGAATAAGTATCAAAGTGAATGACTGAACAACACACACTGCAAGTCCAGCTGCTGATGAACGACAGACAAGGCAACAGAAGAAGCCAGTTTTCTCCACCGTACCACCATATACGATAATAATTGGAAAAGCAAAAATACATGGGCGGTTCGCCAATCTTGCAGCGCAAATGGTGCCAGCCGGTCAGCAACTACGGGCTGTCGTTAGCTAGTGAGACAATATCAGGACGCCAGTGGCCAGGCAGACGCAGTGGTCATGTAACGCAGTATGAAGGTAACGTGTTCGCTGTTTCCACAAAGGTATCCAACATACTATTTCACGTTTGGACCAAAAGAGAAGAAATCATGAGCAATCTGTCTCAATAAATTGCAGTCTGTCACGTAGAATTGAGTGCTGCAATTCCCGGGTGGGAAGAGAACGTTCAGTGAATATATGTACGGTGCGCAGTTAGCGGTTCAGTTAGCGAAATCCAGAACAAAGAAAAGGGGAGTCTAAAGGAGTGTTTTTATGTGAGCGGACAGTCGCCTTAGCCAGTGGAAATGTAAGGTACTCTGTATACTCGGAACGCGGACCCCACAGTTAACCGAGAGAATAGCACATTTGACTTCTAATCGCCTCGTTGCATATTTGGAACGAATTTATTCCTAGGTATCGAAATTCATCACGAATAAAAGAAGCTGAGGAAAACTTCGTGCAAAATCTTCCTTTTCCATGAAGTTGATATGAGAGACACCAAAATAGATGTAGGAGATCGGGCTATGAGTAGCCTAGAAATCAACTGGTTCAACACATACCACAATGGTAGCTCTAGGCACATGCGCGGTTAAGACCTGTTCAGGATAGTAGGCAACTGGAAGCAGCGAGTTGCTGGTTTGCACCAAGGCTGTATTATGGTGCATGAGATTAACAATCTGTTGTTAATTCATGATCATACTTCGGTTTCAATTTAATCTGACGTCAACGGATGCCAAGTGGACACATGCTACAATCGCTCTAGAGTGTGCGGGATGATGTCCACGAACAAAAATCATGCGCACCCACATCAGTCGTCAGTTGGTGTGGTGTAGTGGACCATTTCACGCTTGCGATCGATTACTTTTGAAAGAATCTTGTATACACACCCCTCAGGTAGCAAGCATTTGTGACTGTTAGACTGCAGCGTCTAAGAAAAGGTTAGGGAAAACTGAAGGGAAAATGTATCGGGTGCATCTCTCGTGTGCAGCAGTAGTGCCCACATCTGAAGAAGCAAACGCACTCCGGCAGTGGGAAAGTGTGATGCCGAAAATATTGTGCCTACGCACTAAGCTGTGGTGAACGGCAACCAGCTGATTGGGGAACTTAGCTACAAAGTTTAATATTGAGCCAAGCAGTTGATGTAGTGTTGAGTAAAGGTGGGTAGCCAGTCAGAGCTACGGAAGTTTCTACTGCACCTCGTGTTGTGTGCTGGTGTCGATGCAGCATGAAATACGTAGTTCCACAACAAGACCACCTGTTGTCCCATCGCCGAACAAACGCCGCGGTAGTAGACAACTGTTAAGGAGAAGTCAGATATCCCTTTTAGATCAAGTAAGCACAAGAGGAATTTTCTAAAAAAAACCCTACAAACAAATTTGTTCACACAACAGTTTTAAACGTTTGCAGCATAAAAAAGGAATAGTAACCCCTGTTGGTAAAATATAAGTGGTCAATTAGCAAAAATAGAACTAAGGTGTTAGCCGCTTGGTAGGTGGAAATTAAACTGTGTAACCTGGCAACCAATGAGACCCAATAGTTAGTGTGAGGTGAGGCAAAAGAGGTGCACATTCGCGATAAGCAAGGTAGGTTTCACACAATAATTCATCAGACCACAATTTCAATGGGTGGGGGTACAGTGCATCAGGTGTACAACAGGCCTCACCTGGTCCGTCCCAAGGTTCACAGCTATTGGCAGCCCATTTGTAGAAATCCCACCTGGTCTGAGGCATATCACCTTGTTTCGGATCCAAATTGTGCCACGCCTCTGGGATGAGCATCATGACAGCTTCGGGTAAACTGTAGTCGCCGGCTTGACAAAGGAACTCCAGCATATTGTCGAGTGATCCAGAATCGGACATGTCAGCCTCGACAATTGGGAAAAGTTTGGTTAATATTTCCTTTGAGAAGTGGTTGCTTTCCATCAAACTCTGACGAGCCCGAGAGTAGTTGACATTACCCTGAAATAAGTATTCGATCAGTTGGTGAATGCCATGCGATGACGTCCCGTTAAATAAAATCTGGTAGTCTGGAACATGGTGTCACAATCAGATTACTCATGAGTAGTTTCACTTTAATGTACAAATGGTGCGGAATGCATCCAGAGACCGGGTTGAACCGTCATCACCGTTTGGTACGAGAACAGAGGTCACCACAGCCACAAGAATTATACGCACTATTCGAAGTGAGAAACTTGTAGAAGCAAGTTTGAGGAATGGACGAGTTACTGGACAGGAATGCAACCAGAACGCGATCCAAATCGATAGGGATGTCCCTCACGCGGCTGCAAATCCATCGATAGTTCACAACATGTATAGGTTAGGCCTGGCCAGGTAGTGAGTACGCCAGAAGCAAACGGCACCGGTCGGTTGTCAAACTGGGCAAGCTGCAACGGCATGGCCGCTTTGGGAGTACGGCGAAGGTGTGCTTAACGATACAACAACAGTATGGTGGACAGCTGGATTTGACCAAACCAAGAACGGATTCGAAACATCCTATTCTGGAGAAAGGATGAAAATCATCATACTGATAATGTGCCTAACGTGAAGGCTCACCTGCAGGTAAGTTGCAGGACTCTAGCTTAAGTTTGTGATTTATTTTAATAGGTTGTCCCAAAATCAACTGGCTTTTATTTCGACGCCATTCCAGAATTCGCTGGAGGCTTCTCGAAGATTCAAAGCTAAATTTAGATAGCACGCCGTGTGGTCGGGTTGCGACTCGCAACCTCTATTGAGACCTCGGTTCACTGAGGTAAACCTCGGTCATTCCGATCTCAAGGACAGTATCCTGAATGGAAATATTTGGGTGTTGCTTCTCTCAACACTGGCACTGGTGTGCCGGCGTTTGGAAGAGCAACACCCAAATATTTCCTTCTCGAAGATTCTTTTATATTGGTATATAAGGGAATACACTAGAATTAATCTTTGTTCATTTATCCTGTGTCTTAGTACTAGCTGCGGAGTCGGTAAGTGATCAACGTGCTGTTTGCGGATGCCTGTTGTACGAATTCCTACAATAGCGCATAGCGGTCGAGGCTTGTCGAAACATTTATGGCTTAATAGGCACAGGTATGGTGAAATTTTGGTTTCATCGATTCAAAGTAGGGAACTACGAATTGTCAAACCTCGGAGGCCAATGACACAAGTCAGCGGACTTTGTCAGCAGCATCCAGGAAGATCTAAGGGAGAACCAGAGAAAATGTGTGTGAAGTCTCGTCATACATTTGCCTTCCAATAACCACCATTCACCATCATCTGCGTCAATTCGGAATGGTCCAAAAGCTTGGAGAACTTCTACCACATGAATTAATTGATGGGCAGCTTTTGAACCGTTGTGACTTCGCACTTTCATTGCTCACCCGAAGACGCAATCATCGATGACTGAAGACGAAAGGTGGGTACTTTATGTCAACAGTAGCAAGAATCGTTAGTGGATCACAGTAGAGGAAACGCCAGCACAAGTCCAGATAGGCGAACTGTACAGCAAAAGGTGATGCGTCCGATCTGGTGTCGCCGCGGCGTCATCTATTAGGAAGCGCTACCTGATACTTCCCCGGTTACTGCCGATGTCTACTGCCAACAACTGCAAAAGATGGTCGACGAATACCGAAAAGCGTCCAAAAACGGCTCGAATCCTACTCCTGCAGAAAATTCACGTCCTCATGCGTCATGACGCGTCACATGATTCAGTAGCTCAGTATCGAAACTTTTATACATCCAGCATATGGCCCAGACCTTGCTCCTACTGATTACCACCTATTCCGCTCGTTGCGAAATCACATCAAGGACAAGAGATTCCATGACAGCAACCATATGGAAACGTACCTTGCACAACACTTTCGCTGCCAGCCCACCATGTCCTAAGAGAGGCGTCGACATTTTACCTGAGGGTTGGCAGTACGTCGTCGAGAACGTTACGTTGATAAGATATCGTTGCTTTTTTAAAATAAGTAATGATTGCAAAGTATGCTAGAAAAGTGAATTGATTACGAGAAAACCCAACACTTCCTCCAAGTAGTGAATGGTGGCAACTAAAAGTTGGCAACGGAGGTCTGTTGTGGAAGTGCCGAGATGGTGAAAGTTGATAATATCAATTCATCCGTGGGCCAAATTGTGAATGCGAAGGGTTTCGCAAAGGCCAAAGTACTCAAACTGCCACAGAGTCCGAAGCAAAATACCATAAAGTGGGACTTATTTCAACTAATTGCAAGATAGGATAGTTGTACCACGTGTGTATAGTTACGAAATACAGTTGGATGAGTGGGCTTAAAAAGCGTAGCTGAGTGAAATTCTTTGCAAATAAAACTACACGTTATGTAAAAATATCATTCAGATCATAAAAGAAACTACAATATGCAATATACCCAAGCGAAAATGAACCAGCTCTCTACTGCCCTAACTGAGCGATAAAGTAGTCCGCCAGATGCACAAAGTTGTCGGCGCCAGCGCCATGATATCGGTGAATAGGGTTATCTGCAATTCAGGCTCACCTTTTCCCCCATTAGGCTGGTGGTATACGGTAGTAATGAATCCATTGATGACATCGCCATGATGGAAACAGGTCAACAAGTAGTTATTGAGACAACATTTGACACAGTTTTGACATACAAATGAGCGGCCACGGTGGAATGTCGGTCAAAACATCAACAGAAGCTTGTTGTTTGGCAGTGAATAAATTAAAAATACAAATCGATAACCATATTTCGTTTGCCAACTTAGACGCAGAGAAAGTGTATACCAAGTTCACACCCACATCTGAAGCCACACGCATAGAAGCTAGCAGTGAAAAGAGCACACAAAGCTGCAATGCACTGAGCTATAAAATGCGTGTCGAACAAGTAAGGCTAAAAATTGCCGTTTACCAGCAGTCCGGTGGTTTCTATGACGAAAAACGCAACTGGCTGCACAATGCGATGAAATCCGGCATACTTGTGCCCGGAGTATATAGGCCGTGCTAAAGCAAGAGGATAGCTCGGGTGCATACGCCACTCCAGTAACCTTGTTAGGATTAAAGTAAACCCAGCCAGAAGTAGCCGGATTGCTGGAAAGTACAGTCCAGTCGACGTGATGTGTGTGTGTGTGTGCGTTCGAATGTCATCAAGGTATTATTATCTGGTTGTTCGGAAAGTAATTTCATTGTTTTCGATGAAAATGAAAAACGATTCGCTTATAGTGAATGGATGTTTTATTAAATTACATATTCTCCAATCTGATCAAATACCACTTGCCATCTTTCTGGCAGTAGCTTGATTCCACGATCATAAAATTATTTTTCTTTGCTGGCAAAATACTATTGCAGAGGATTTTTGACATCCGCATTTGAGGTAAAGATTTTACCGTGTAATTTTGTAGAGACGGGAACAAATAATAATCAGAAGGTGCCAGATCTAGAGAAGATGGTGGGTTTGGCAATGTATCTCATCCAAACAGTAAATGTTTTTGGCAAGTTACCAAACTTGAATGAGGCCTCGCATTATCTTGGTGGAACATCACACCTTTTCTAGTGATCGATTCTGGCCGTCTGTTTAAGTGATTCATTCAATTTGTCCAGCTGATAACAGTACATTTCAGAATTGATTGTTGTGTTGTCCGGTAAAAGCTCAAAAAATAACGATTGCTTTGAAATCCCATCACAGATAACATCACTTTTCTGATGAATATCGACTTCCGAAGTGCTTTGAGTCGGTTCAGCTTTTATACTCTATAATCTCGAGTTTAAGATTGCTGTAAACAACCCAGTTCTCGTCCCCAGTGATGATGCGCTTCAAAAATGTATCGTTTCCTGATGTTTAAGAAGCAAAGCACAGACGTCAACGCGACAGCACAAATTGCTTACCGTAAGAACATGCGGTACCCATATGCCGAGCTTTGAGATGAAACCTAGGCGATTCAAATGATTATGAACGGTCGAATTCGATAAATTTAATCTCTCAGTGATCTCACGAGTTGTTATTCGCCGGGTTGCATCATTTGCAAATTAATTAATTAAGTAATGCAATTAATTAATTAACGCCGGATCTGAATTTTGCAAATCAGTTTTGGCACTGGCGTTCTGTCAATACATCTTCTCCATACATATCCGATAACTTTTTCTTGCCTGACCGGCAATTTTACCATTTGATAGTAAAAAAGTAAAATATGCCGAAAATGATGCTTTTCACTCTGCATATTTGAAAGGGCGCCAAACAGAAAATACTGCGTGGAACCAATCGAAGTTTTTCACAAGCAAGCCTTGCTATATCAGCTGTCAATTATAAAAATTGTGGCTTAAGTGTGAAGTTGGCTGTGCAAAATATGCAATCAAATCTTATGTTGGGCAAAAACGAAATTGCTTTCCGAACCACCAGATAGAAACAAAGAAAAACGTGTAGTCCAAAGTCGAATGCGCAGTCAGCTACAAGGGGCCACATGCAGAGTAACGAAATGACGTCCGCAAAAATCCGGACACGTGTTTTCAGCGGAACGAAATATTGTTTTTGTCCCTAATTTCATAAACCTACAGTCAAGTTTGACCTTTGCCTTCCTAGATCACCAAACACACCCGGGTAATGTGCTTTGTAGTTGTGTGCGTGGGGCCTAACCACCTTACCAGAGGTTCGAAGTTCAGTCATATGTTCACTCTACCAGTAAACTTTTCTTTGTCCGGTATCTTGAGCTTTGTGTACTCAAGAGACAAAGCAGTAGCCCAGAACAGACAATTGCGTCTGGCTTTGAGCAGCAGAACGCACATACCTGAAGAAAGTCTACATTGGACAATCAGATGCCATGTTGTTAGATACGACACAATGCGCAGTTCCGACCACATGATTGTCCGTAGTAGTCACTTCAAGTGTGCCGTCGATTGAATTGGCGTCAAAGGGTCCCAGGTCAGTAGTTGCTCAGGCGGGTGGGGAAACCATCATTTCTTCGATAACAAAGTGAATAGAAATACGAATCATCCTCATGCACAGGAATCATGCCAA